AAAAAGGTAAGAAAAAAGGGAATAAAAAGAAGACTGAAATATGTGGAAGAGAAATAAGAAAGAGTAGGGAAGAAAGAGGGAGATCAAAAGATAGAGAAACAACACCACAAGAAGAGAAATGCGAATAAAATAAAAGAAGGAAAATAGATAAGATATAAAAAAACAATGATTGAAAACATTCACCGTTGCTTTGACCAACCGCCGCGAAAGAAAGTCTTTTTACGGCAGTTAAAACCCGCCTCGCGCGATAATGAGATACAACTCAGCAGCAACCTAGGAAAAAACCTCTCTAACAATCAACCCTCTTGCATGGCAAAATCGAAGGATCTCAATTAATTGTTTTCGGAAACAAAGCCATCAATAAATCATATAATAACGTACAAGAGATAAACGTTCCTTTAATTACTGAACAAAAGTCAATAAATACACTTTAAGTCCACGAGTCTTCATTCGAATTTAGTTGTGTCTTCAGGAGTGAGAAATATTTGAGTATTGACAGCAAAATAAGGTAAGAAATGCAGTGGAGTAGATATTCGTGCCATGGGGGAATAAACGTCTTTGGGGATAGAACAAGACCTTGATATATGTAAATAGATATGGGGTTAAAATACCAATGACAAAATGGAGAGCAAATGTTATTTAACCCTTCGAGTCTCTTTTTCACTAAATATAATATATTTAAACAAGGACACACTTTTAAATTATTTTATTATTGCTACAAATCAGTTTCTAATACGAATTGTTGAAAGAGTATGGTCAGTTAGCAGCTTCCCCGTTTACATTAGGGTTTCTTTCTATTTACTTTCCTAACTTTTTAGTTTGTTAAATCAGATATTAATTGAAAACGCTCCGTTTGATCAGTTTTAAAATGGTGGCAGCGTCAGGGCTCTAACTGAGCTACGCTAGCGCTTCGCAACTTGTGTACATACTGTTAGGCATTGAATGACTTGACTATTTAATGAATATGGAACCTTCAACGTGAACGTACGACAGGGTTTACGTCGAAGGAAGCAAAATATTTATGGACTATTACTATATATCTAATTTATTGGCAATTCTTAGGTTGAATTTTGCTGTAAGGATTATTACCTAGCGTAATTCTTGGTCGTCTTGTACTTTTTCCATTTTCAAGTCGACTAGTTTAGATTAGCATGTGGATTCGTTTTCTGAATCAGGTCAAGAAACGACGCAGAAGGTTTTTCGCCTTTTATGAAATGATGAAAAAATTGCTTTATATTCTCCAAGCTATTTGATGAAATTTGTACCCAGCGAAAAATGTATTTGATTTTCTATATTTGATCGAAACGCTGGACCAGGTACTTTAATGAGAATTCCAGCTCAAATTATGAAGATTAAAAGAACAATGACATTTAAGGAGCCTAATTTTTCCGTCTTTTTGGTTTTTGCTCAATCTCGGTATGAGAAAAAAGAGTTGAGTCATTTGTAGTACAAGTTTTTGATCAAACAAATGTGAACAAAAATGGGTTTTCTGACGCGGATTAGAAATGAAAACATGCAGCATTTAATTGTAAGATATTTTCAGAGACACTTTTCAAAGCGCTATAAAGTCCCTTTTGAACAAGAACTTGAAAATGTTCAACAAAGACTTCGAAATTTTCATGGCACCAAATAACGAATCTACGAATCTTTCTCCGCCATCTTTGTCTTTGTTGTTTTTTTGTTCTGCTTTATTTTTTTTTATTTTTATTTTTTTGCATCAATCTATCATTTATTTGAAACTGGAGTTTATATTGCTTCAAGATTGCCAGCAGTAAAAGCAAAAAGGGAGGTAGCGTTGAAGTAGGATTTGAAATTAGATTTATTGATGTCAGAAACTACAGCTACTGACATAACGCAATATTGTGATGTAGGCTGGACAGAAGTAGGATGATGTGGACTTGAGGGTGCTATTAAATACATCTGTTACAAAAGACACAACTAATATTTTATCTTTTTGCTGAAATCACGGATGACAACGGGCGTAGATGGCAACGTCATGGAGTGGGGCCACAGTTTTTATCCTCGTAAAACAAAGGGAAATATGTGTTCTAGTTACAGATACAATTTAGAATTTCGTCGATATTTGGAGTAATTCAAAGAGTTTTCACTGAAAGGGAATGAAGAAAAAAAGTCACAATTTGATTTGATTGCAAACTTTTGATTTTTTATATTCGATAAAATCATGCAAAGGAAAAAAGAAAGATTCAAACTTTTTTTAGCGTGAAGTGGAATTTAATTTTTTTTTTTTTTTTTCATTCAGTATTGTCATTCAATATAGTCTGTATATCTCGATATATAAGAAAAGTAGCAAGTTTTTCGCAAGTTTATTTGTCCGTCTCACAGCCTCAAGTCTACATGCAAATGTAAAAGAAGTGTAGTTGTAAAGATGAGCTTAATCTCGTGTTCTCAAACCGACATAACTACACTATCTATGCATCTGTACATGCCGCTTCGTGGTTCTTCGAAAAAAGGGCGACGGTTTCAGTCAAACGTTCCGGCCAAAATGAGTAGCCTTTTGGCATTGAACGAACTCTTCTTTGGGCAATTCTCGATTTGTAACGAGTTGTAATCAATCTTGTATTTGTTGATCGATGTTACCATGGTAATAACGTAATCCCTTGTGAAAAGCTAACTTTGATTGGTTACTGTGGGAACCAATGAAATCTTAAGTGATCCCTACCTTTCGACTGTATGTCGTAGTTTTTATATTTCAGTGGAAATCCTAAAAGATTGATAGAGTTTTGTTCTGCTCAGTTCTTCATTGCTGAATAAACCGTAAAAATCTCTCGCTCGAGTTCAGAATATAATTGGTAAAACAAATTGTACACCTGACGGTGTTAATTTGCGCACTTCAATACGTATTTTCATCCACTTAAGTTGATTTGTATTGAAGGGTTAATTAATATTTTAAATGAGCTTTAATATAAAGACGTCGTATTTCTAACTGCATCAGGCCTTGCATGGGAACTTCGTCAGTACTCTACTTAACTCGTTCTTGTGCAATCACCAACGCGTTCACTGTAGCTTCGTTGTCGAAAAAATATAGACTCTCATTTGGGAAACGATAGATTTTGTAGAAGATCGTGTGAAGTTCTTCATACGTATCATACGTACTTCAATACGTATTTTCATCCACTTAAGTTGATTTGTATTGAAGGGTTCTATAATCAATATTTTAAATGAGCTTTAATATAAAGACGTCGTACTTCTAACTGCAGTAGGCCTTGCATGGGAACTTCGTCAGTACTCTACTTAACTCCTTTTTGTGCAATCATCAACGCGTTCACTGTAGCTTTGTTGTCGAAAAAATATAGACTTTTATTTGGGAAAAGATAGAAGATAGAAGATCGTGTGAAGTTGTCCTTCAGTAGCACATTGTATGAATTACATACGATCTCTTGTTATGTAAAAAAACATTGTATTTATAGACCAAATTCAAAACTCACACCGATGTGAGGCTTAAGTTGTGAACAAAGGGATCTGGCGTGACTCAAAGTAATCTGGCGTGATTCAAAAGTCACGAATCACGCCAGATTCCTTTGTTCACAACTTAAGCCTCACATCAGTGCGAGTTTTGAATTTGGTCTATTCTGTCCTACAACATGGAACTTGGACTCTAAAAAAAACCCCTTTTCTCAATGCTAGAGCTCATTAATCCGTATGTGAAACTGTACTACGTTTATTTCAAAATAGTGCTATTTAGTACAAAATAGTATCTTAATAAGTTTCTTTGAAGACGTTTGTTCGTAATTACTGCATTTAAATTCGTGTATTTTAACCGGGTTGCAGTGTTTTACCAAAATAAATTCAATGCAAAAATCCCATTTTATCAACACCCGAATAATGTTGAGAATTGATAAATAAAAATTTATATCCATGATGTTGACATCTAACATACATGCATTTGGAAGGTCATTGATTCATAAATGAAATGGACCCAATATAGATCTTTGGGGAACTCCAAGCTTAACGCTGTAAACGCAATGAAAAGGCCGTTTTCGTGTCCTTTAGACTTGGCTATCAAGTTTCATAACGGTGTAGGTCGCCAGTACATGTGCGAATTAAAATTGTTCCAGTGTTATTATTACCATATTATATTTTTTACCCCAAAGCTTATTTAATCAAATAAGGCGAAGTCGAAGTCAGCTCTTTATTTATGACACCTTTTTAGAATACTAAAGACTCGATCGTGAAGATTTTAACTGATAACCTGTCGCATGCATGCAGTCATCCCCATTCACTTGAGCCTTTCAGCGTTCAATCCCTTTGAATTTTTTTCCATCGTTATCGCAACCTTTATACCCTTTGGCACTTTACAATCTTTAAATCAAATGGACATCAACTGACCCACAGCTATTTTTACTCACAGAACCCACAGAATCAAACTAGACCTTTCATTCAGGTTTATTTTAAGAAAAAGAATTTATCATTTTATAGCCGCGTCTTCGCTTGCTTTCAGCTAGAGTGTAGGGTCATGTCCTGGCTATTCTAGAAGGTTCTAGAATTTGATAGACGATTTACACCAGTTGTTTGTTCAAGCTTAGATAAATCGTTTAAATGACAAAACTTTACTTTCGTGTTGCCCTCGGCATCGGAACTGCTCCTAATGGTTTTGTATCTTTTCGTTTTACAAATGTAAAGTATTTTGAAGTTTTTCTTTTCTTTGGGCGAATTAAGGTAATGACTTAATGAGGCAAGATAAGAGATTGATTATTGCATTTTGCCTTTTAAAATCGTTGGAAATTTAGTTCAGTACTGAATAAATGTGTGCTGGGAATCGATGACAAAAGAAAGAAGTCAGGAGGATTTCGGAAATAAGAAAGAAAGACAAAGGGAAATAAATTTCGAGAATGAAATCTTAAAAGAATTCCTGAACGAATGTGTAATGATATTAAATAATCAAAAAGAAAGAAAAAGTAGAGAGATAAAAGAAAGAAAAAGATCGAAAAGAGAATAAATCTGAAATGAGTAAAACAAGGAATAAAATTCAAAGGATAAGGAAAAGGAAAATAGCAAAAAAGGAACTACGAAAAGTTCAGAGAGAATCGAATGAGAGAGAGAGAGAGAAAAAAAGAAAATACATAGGTACAAGAGATTTAAGAGCGAGCAGCAGAAATCACACTTAATGAAGGAGAATCAACTCTTAGCCAAAACCAAAACCTGAAGAGTGATTAGATCGCACCTGGCAATATAAGCAAGTAGGTATTAATCAAACAAGGAGTAATCCGATTATTATTTCTATTTAAATATATATAAACAGAATACAACTAGATTATATGTACTATTTACAATATATAGCCGGTAACAACTTTGCTTATACTGACAGAATTCCGGCCAGTTGTCGACTGGCTGAGAGTACTACATACTAATTGCACAACTCAAAATGCTCATTTTAAAATCGCTTTAAGATTTAAGGAAAAAAATGTAAAGTAAACTCAAATCTATTGTCTTGGTGGGCTTTTTTTGAAGTCGGTTATAATGCCTGGAGCTAGCTCAACTTAACTCTTTAAGAAATTGTATAAAACAATATTTGCATAAAACAATGTCTCGCGATACATAGCGCTTATTTTTGATATAGATATGAGGTTTTAAAATCCCAAGTAAAAGAAGGTCGAAGAAAATAGTATGGTCTTAACTGAGATCCCAAAGAACACTATGGTGTAACACGAGATTATATAGTAAGAAGTTGTCAGTTCTGCACAAGAGTCTTCGGAATATTTTATCACACATTTGAAAAAAATAACAATAACAAAATAATTGGTTTTTGCAAGTTTGAACGACATTCAGACGGGATTTGGGACTTTTGCCATGCGCTTTTATACTAGCTAAATGAAATACGAATGCACGAAATTCAAAACTACGAAAATATGAGTCTTTACTATTTGAAAGAAAGGAGAGCGAAAGACGGACAGATATACAGAGAGAAAGGACGAGAGAGAGAAAGAGAGGCAGACAGAGAACCTCAAAACTTCTCAGAAAACCAAATGTATTTTCGCCAAAGATGGACACACAATAGATGATCCAATCCCATCTCAAACATACCCATTGGCACAAAACACAAGATAAATTGATAATTACTGTAATATTAAGTTAATCTTCTGTCAAAACTGTCTTGGGGTTTATTGGACAGTCCAATATAGATATATGTCAATCTTGACCATGTCATTCCATATAATTAAGCCCAGCAAAGCCATTCCTGTTTTCATCCTATCAGAAGTAGCTAACGCCTCTGCCTGGAGGACCATTCAATACAGATTGGCCAAAAGTCCTTATCACGTGATCATGGGCCGGGATTGTATGAAGTATATATAAACTGATTGTTCACTGTATATTACTTCATCACAGAAGGTATACTTCACTCGTCAGAAAGAATCAACAAAGTCAATATGAGTTACAAAGTCGTTCTACTGTGTTTGGCCGTTTTCCTTGTAGCTGATGTATTCGTTCAAGGTCTTCCTGGTAGTGCCCCCCACAGAAGAGCGAAGCTTTTCGATTCACTAGTGAGTAAAAGCATTTTAAACTAAAATAAACACACAAGAATTCGTTTTGTATATATTTACAGCATTGTAAATATCAGAGGGTAAAAACCCACTTCTTTTGTTTGCAATACCTTTTTGGTATCCAAAAATAAAATGAAGAAGTAAAA